AAAAAAATTGAAAATTTTTCTTGAATTTGATACATTGGCGCAGTAATTTGATGGCTTATGATGTTATGCACTGTACACATTTAATTTGTATCACATGATTTGATCATAAGTTTTGATTTAGCGGATCTCTCGATTTAATGGATAAATTTTCTGGAAAAAAATATCTGTTAAATTGAGACTCACTGTGTATAAAGAGTGGACCTTAGAGAGAACCTGTTGTAGACAATAATAAATAGACATGTAAATTGGGCTTTCCATTATTATTATATCAATTATATATAAAGTGTGAACTGTGTCTTACTCATTTTTTTAACTGATTCATCTTCATTCCCAGGCATCATTATATGGCATTTTTTGTTTTGTATATTTCAATTATATTGGATAGTACATTGTTCAACAATGCAAATTTTCATAGGGAGGAGATAAGAAAAATATTTATTTAATATATATAGGATTTCTTCTCTAATCTGTTTTCATAATGTAAATGAGGAATGATTGAACCTAATGAAATTAAATTTCCCTTTTAATAAGGGTTGGTTTAATTTTTTAAAAATTGGTTGGAGATTATCAAGATATATGTGTGTTTTATTAGTGTAATTATCCCGCCGATCCTTATTTAAAATCAATGCGGATCACTCATTTTTAAAAGAATCACGAATTAAAGTAAAAGTGGTGACACGTTGATATGTAAACACGTACTGTAACATTCTTTAACGTTTTTTAACTTAATTCCAGCTGCATCTGTCGGCATCCGCGATTTTGACACACTTTACTTGGTACTAACATTTCCAATATGGTATTATGCGGCAGATGTGTAATTTGCAACGAAATTAGAGTAGGCTCCGAAGTAAGTATAAATAAAGCAGAACTGGGAGTTGAGTGGACGAACTTGTTATCTTTTAAAACATTTTCAAGGTATAATAGTGAAAAAAGCCAAATGTGCACTTTGTAAAGAAACTAAAGCTTTTTAAACAATAAATAAAACTACTCAAGGAAAAACTGAAGGAGGATGCAACAAGGTATTCATTCTATAATTATTATTAAATTAATAGTTTGGTATAATATATTTACTTTGTATATCTATTTCTTATTATTAGATGAATAAATGATGAATATTAGAAGGTAGTTGTTCTATAATTATTGTTAAATTAATAGTTTTGTATAATATATTTTTTTTATTTATTTATTTGTTATAGATGTGGATATAGAAACAAGATAGTCGTTCTAAAATTATTATTAAATTAATGGTTTTGAATAATATATTTATTTTTTCTTGTTATTAGGCGTGGATAATATAAAGAGGGTGTTTGTTCCATAATTATTGTTAAATTAATGGTTTGGTTTCCTTAGAACACAGCAAAAGAAACAAGGTTAAATTAAATGAGGTAGTTTTATAATATTGTTAAATTAATAAATTTGTTAAATTTATATAATATATATTTATTTCATAAATAATAGAAACAAGGTAGTTTGTCCTTGATTATTGTTAAATTAATGGTTTTGCATTATTTGCTTCCAATATCTACTTGATAAAACTTATACGTCACGAAGCCTCTTCTCTAAATTTTTGTGTAATCTATTCGGCCAATCAAATTTTCTTTTTTGTGTAATCTGATCGACGAAAATCATTACCAATTATAAGAATGTCCACCATGCTTATTGTTACAATGCATTTATTATTGTAAACTTAAATACATTAGCCAACATTGCTTCATATCTATCATCACCTTTTGCAGTCACAATATATTATTTGTATTTGAAGTAAGGTTGCGGGAGAAACTCCTCCAGAAATCAATCGACAGAGTTTCGGCAGGTTACACATTAATTGTTTATTAGAGTTTCGGCAGAGTTTCGCATTTGGGGTTTTCGCCAATCATCATAGTTTCGACAGGTTACACATTAATTGTTCATTAGAGTTTCGACAGAGTTTCAACAGTCATTAAGAGGTTTCGCCCACAACCTTAATTTGAAGGATCATAAAAAAGAAGAATGTCATTATGACTTACTGTATGACCTTAATGTTAATTCATAAGTTTTGCTGTAATAATTATTTGTAAACATGACATAAGAAAAGTCAACCTCCTTATGACTTTATAAACATTTCAAACTGTATATAAAGACCATATTTTACTTGACCAACAATCAGAATTAAATGGGACAATTTTAAATTATTGAAAAGTCTTAAAAGAAAAATTAAAAAAATTGATTTTAACTCACAACAACAATCATCAGGAAATTAATTTAGCATAAACTTGCATAAATCTTACAATGCTGACGTAATATTGTGTAAATCTTACAGTGCCGATGTAAGTTTTACACTTTTTTATTATTAAACTTACAATTGAAACGTGTAAAATTTTTTTATATTTTCCAGATGATAGCTTTTTTAATATTGAATAAGTATGCAAATTATAAATAGTTTAGTTTCATTTATTTTTTTAAATATATATATAAAATAAAAATCTCTGTTATAATTTATCACATGACTATGATCTGTAAACTCTCCTATATATTAGTGATGTTAGCCGGTAGAAAAACCTTAGCCGGCTAAGCTGGCTAATAATCTGCATACATAATTTCTAAATTTGGTAATAGATTTCCGCGTTATCTTCTGGTTATGGAAATAAAATT